CTCTGAGGATAGGTTTTGAGTGGTTGTTATTGAACACATGCAAAGATTAGCAATACATGCTTATTGGGCATCCTTGTAAATTAACTCAATTTCTAGGAAAACATTTGTCAATAAAAAACCTTGTAGGAAGAGAATGCACACATTGACTTCCCCTAGAGCCTTGTCACATGCCTTTCTGTAGGGATTTATAAAATGTTGCCTACAAGATTTTTTAAATGAGGCCCTTAAGCCCAGCATCCAGTGACCGTGCTGATTAAATGAGAAAGAAAAAAGAGGAGGAGGGAGGACCAAAAGGTCCAGGATCTGTCTTATTAGGCACAGAAAACACCAGGGAATGCTTTAGAGAATGCTTCTGTGGGAACATTACACGGAGGCAGTGTCTGTCTGTAAAGGGACCTGGATGAAATGGTATTACCAGTCACACTCAGTTGAGTCTTGCCTGAGAAAAGACTGCTCTATGTAGCACAAGTACGCTGGTCACTGTTGAGAAAGAGGGTAGATCCTATGTAATGAGGATGCTGCCTGGTGCCATGATGGCTTCCAGGATACTTCTTTGGAATATGTTACATTTTCAGCACCCTGTTGGAGGGCCATTGTAGTTGGCTTAAGAAATCGGTATGTTATATGACCCAAGAAATTATGTGAATTCCCATTAGTGGGTGATTAGTTCATTCTAAATTCTAAGAAAAGTAGATTTCCCTATGGACTAAAAAACATTCTATGTGTTCCTAGATGACTCCTTCCTGAAAAAAAGGGGGTACCGATTCAGATAAACCGGAGCCTTCTGTCTACAGAGGAGCCTGATAAGACTTTCATTTTGAACTTGTTAGAATCTCATCTCCATCTGAGATTCCAGCATCTAGTCTAGACTGTAAAAAGGGGAAATGTGAGATATTTGCCCAAATATACCCTGAAATAGATCCTGAATTAAATGTAAGATATTTTCCCAAATATATCCTGAATTAGGAAACTCTGCTCAGCCTGTTTTAGAGGTTCACCTCTGAGGCAGAGCTCAGTTTTACCTCCATGCACATTAAATGCTTCTCTATGCAAACACAGATCCAAATGGCTTTTCCTTCTGTATTCTTACCACTGATTTATCACCATTGCTGCTGCTTAATGTGGTGCAGGGCCAGTTCTCCACTATCCCTGGCCTCTCCTCTGGCCCCCAGCCCCACCTCTTAATATCTCCTGTTTGCAAAAGAACTCTGTATTTTAAATATTTGAGACTCAGCAGCAGTAAATGTTTTCAGGCTTCGGATAACCCCACCACTGCTAGGAGAGGGAGGGTTTACATCATCTGTGATGCCAAATCTTAAGAAAAAAAGGAAAAGAAAATAGTGGCAAAGCATTGTTTGTCAGATTGTCACTAAACATTATCACTCAGAATCAGCCCTATTTGTACATGAAAACTTCTATTGCAGAATCTGAAAAAGCAAAGCTTAGAACTTCTTAGGAGAAAAAAAAAATGATCATCTTTTCTAGCCAAAGAATAGAAGCTTTCAAATTACTCCCTGGGAAGGTTTGTACGGAAAATAAATAAGAATAGTGTGTCTGTTATGGGGCTGTTATTAAGATTTCAAAACCGTGAAGGATACTGAAGAACCCATTTTAAGCAGTGATTGTCATCTACCGGAGAGCCACTTTTAACCTACGATTGTTACATTTCAAACTGAAGTCAAAGAAAGGAAAACTTCGTTTGGCATACATCAGATAAATCAGCCTGCCTTCTGCAAACCTCCTGCTGGTAAATACTGTGCTTCCCTGGTTCAACCCTCGAACAGTTTATGTGAGTGGGAGATGACGGACAAGGCAAGATCTCCTGTTCTTGGCTCATTTTCCCCAAGCTAGCAAAACCTTCACCTTCATTTGCTCAGTTCCTTGAAAATGGAAACATTTTTGAAAATGCTGTGGCCTCCATACCTGGTGGGAAGTCACTGAGGTTGAACTTGTCACTCTGTTAATCCACTTAGAATAGAGCACTGATTTGTGCATCTAATTACTGAAGCCTAATTATGGCTGCACGGAAATCAACATGGCACAATAAAATACACGATGCCTTCCCAGGAATGAGACCTGTATTCCCCTTTCAAGTTACTGGTGACCTCATCTGCAGTCTTATTCAAAAGCAAGCCTTGTCAAAGATTTTAAATCATCCCTTCTGGGCATCAAGTCTTCGGCGCATGCCCAGGACTAGCTAGCATTATGAGGAGGTGGGTAATGAAGTTTGGCTTTGCAAGTGGAAATTACTAATTTATTAGAGTTCTTTGAGGTGGAAAATAGGCATGTAGATAAAGGAAAGCCCATAGATGCATTCTACAAAGTCTTTAAAAGGCACTTTTGAAAATGTTCCACACCAAGAGTTACTAATAATTGTAAATGCTCTCTTCTAGGGGTGGGGGTGGGGGAGGGCAAACTTTTATCTCAGAAAGTGAACTTGCTTAAAAGATGAAATAAAATGCCCAGAATATACATCAGTGTTTTTTGTACGGAAAGAGGCTAGAAGGGGAAAGCAACGGGGCTCCCTGGGGTCACTGTTATGATGGAGCATGTTTAACATGCTTGCTGCATGCTGATAAAGAACTGTGATTTCCACTGGCAAGAGTCACTGCTAAATACTCCTGTTTCAGTAGGTCATGGCGTGATGCAGGAGCCCTTATTATTTTATTATTATTGAGTGGTGAGGCAAACACACACACGGAGAGAGAGAGAGAGAGAGAGAGAGAGACAGAGACAGAGAGACAGAGAAACTCATCCACTTCTTCATTCCCTAATGCCTGCAATGGCTGGGGACGCACGAGCCAGAGTTTGGGAGACACTATCCAGATCTCTCTTGAATTGTCACTGCTGACTCCCGGGATCTGCACTGGCAGGAAGCTGGAGTCAGAAGCTGGAGCTGGTGGTCTAGCCTGGGTACTCTGATACGGGATGCGGGTTTCCTAACTGCTAAACAAAATGTCTACTCCGGGAACTTGTATTTTTAAATCTTGACTGACAGCTTTATAATTTTAGCTAATTTGCTGTTTGTTAGGCACTCTTCAGACTAGTCTTACTATTCCTTGTAACGATCCCAGGAGATATTACTATTAATATGCCCTTTTACAGGTGACGAAACTGAGTCACAGAGTAGTTAAATAATTTCTCCAAAATCCTTTAGTGCACGACAGAGCTACCAGTATACATAAGAAGGAGTTTTCAATGATGACAAAGGAGAAGAGAACGGACATCACTGATGATTCTTTACTAAAAATACTGTTTTGGTTTGCAGCTCTTCTTCAAAAGGCCTTAAGTATAATGATGTCTATTGAATGCAATACTTTAGTTACCTGTGGACTCTGTTTTATTGAAAAAAATTTTTAAAAAGTCATTAGCCTTCCTTGGGTATTTTACTTTATTATTCTTGCTGAAACGTTCAGTGCTTGCTAGTAAGAAGGCAATGATGTTATAAAAAAACAAATAGTGACAAATCGCTGGGTTTTCTTCTCTATTGCTGGTCAGTGGTCTGTTTCCCTTACTTGCTTTGGTGTGTGTGTGTTCAAAAAGATTCAAGCAAATGTCATATGTTTATGGAGGCTTATCAAATGAGAAATAATGGAGGAAGGAAAGAATATGTGAATTTGTTTTCAAAAAAACCACCTAAAGAAGAAGAGATGACAAAATCTGATATTTCACGGAATGATCAATGCTGGGAGAAGCTGAGACCAACACTGGACAGCACTGTTCTGGTTTTGTAACAGGAGTCTTAGAATACCAATGCTGGTGGGATGTGAGCGTGGCGTTGAGTCAGAAGCACAGTTTTGTAATGCCTTGTGTCAGGACTTCAATCAAGAAAATAGAGTTTGCAACAGGTCCTGCTTGTTGATAGCTATGAGTTAATAACAAGGGCAGAAACATTCGGTTGTACGATTTATACATGTCAATGAAGGTATAAGACTTTATAGCTTTATTGTTAATTGCTATGTTGGTGTCTCATATGGGTGTAGTTTCTCACCAGTAAGTCCGGAGGCTTACAAAGAACAGGAGAAATGGCTTTTATCATCCTATTCACCCTATAGTATCTTGCAAAGGCCTAGGCATCAAGAATTAAATTGAATTGAATTAGATACAGTAAATCAATGCATTTTAACTCACTCTTCGTTTGTCTCTGATCCTGCTCAGTTATTCAATATAAGGTTCCATGTGATAGAAGTTGGAAGACAGAAAACACATATATAAAATATATATTTATATTGTCTTCATGTCCAAATACTTCCGTAAAGCCAAGTCTTCTCTTTAGCTATACTTTAGAATCCTATCATTGTATCTCTGTCTCCTGGATCTAATGCACATAAATGAAGGGTCCAAGTCTTGGAAGGAGTTTCTCATTAAAATAGAGAAAAACCCAAGGCTGGTCAGAACACACAAGTTTACTTCCTGTTGTTTTTTTTTTTTTTCCACCCCACCACGGAAATCACAGATTCCCTGAAACACCAAACACAGTTTGCAGTGGACTGCTCATCAGTTGAAGAAAACGTGATCGATGACCCACGTCTAAACGAAAAAGAAAAACCACCTCTCCTTTTACATTTGCCAGCGTCCAAGGGAAACAAACAATCCGGAAACAGTTCCCCAAGATTACATACTGACTACAAAGCACAGTGCATGTAGCCTAACATTTTCCCACCTGGAAAAACTGGGCTTAAGTACCTTCCTCAGTCACAAAGCACCACTGTGTTCTCGCCAGTACGCCAAGTCATTCACTTGAAGGAATGGCACCTGGGGGTGATGGTGGTCATTGCAAAGGTTCTGCTGTAGAAATTGCAGATGGAGAGCTGGGCTCTGGGCACGGGCACGGAGAGGAGCAGAAAAGAGCCCGAAGAAAAGGCTGTCATGTTTGCTCAGAAGAACCGCCAAATCAGGGAGCAGAGAGGATTTCATTGGAGGAGCGCCTTCCACAGCAGCAACTAATCCTGTCATATGGAGAGAACATTTACAATGTTCTCCAGATATTGTCCGCCCATTGCAGCTAACCAAACGCACAGGCACACACACAGACAAGGCTCTCCTGCTCCACCGAAGGCACCGGGGCGGAGACCGGCTGGAGGGAGTGCGCGCGGGGGTGCGCGCACAAACACACACACACACATACACACACACACGCACACACGCACACCCGGGTGCGGGTTGGCCGGAGCTTAAATCCGCAGACTCCTCTAGGAAATCGCCAGAGGCACTGGAATAGGTGTCGCTGCCCCCCTACACACACACACACACACACACACCCTGATTACTACTTCCCCAAACACTTCTGTGAAGCCATGAATCCTGCCCGGCTCGCCGCTGCTTCCAGGTCTTGGTTCTGTGTTGGTCTCCACCGTCGCCTTCCCGAAAGCCAGGTTTGAAAGTCCTACTTGGATCTCCTTGGATGGTGTGCGGAGGAGGGCGGGGGCAGGTGTCAGGTGTCCACTCGAGTCTAAAACCGCGAAGCGGTCCCCACCGGGCTAAGTGGCGGGGACCCCGGCGGCGGCGCGCGGGCGAGCTCCGCAGCTCTGGGCCGAGCCTTCGGGTCGGCTGGCTGTCTCCCCGCCTCCCCCGCCCCACCCCTCCAGTGTCGCGGCGCCAACTAATCTTTTTCCCTTTTCTCTTGCAAGATCAAGGGAGAGAGCGAGCGGACGACGGGCTCCGGACTCTAAGCCGAGCTCAGCCCGCACCCGGGGCGGCTCGCCCTGAACCCGCGGAAGGGCTTCTCGCTCCCGCCAGCCTCCACCAAACCAAAGCCAGGGTAGGCAGCTGGGGCTGAACCAGAGACAGGTAAGGGCACCACGCGGCTCCCTTCCTCGCCAAGGGAGCCGGCATGGCGGGGAGGTCGGGGCTGGGGGTGGGGGAATGGGAGGGTCGTGGAAACTTTTGACTCCTGGGGTTCCTAGAGCTCAGGAGAGGAATGGCTGGGTTTGGGAAGATCGGAAGGACCGGGCCGAGGAGGCTTAGCGCGGGGCGAGGGCGCGATCCGGGCGGGTCACTGAGTGTGGCGGAATGTGGCTGGCACAGCCTAGGAACCGCGCTGCCCCCAGCGTCAGCGTCTCTTCCAAGGCGACAGCCCCTCCACTGCCACCGGTCCCCACCCCGTTTGCCGGATTGCCAGGGGCCGGGAGACTGCCGGCCTGGGATCTGACCCGGTCTTCATCGCATCTAGGGTGGAGGCCCAGCGAACCCCGCTCCCTGCTGCCCTCAGCCTCGCAGCAGCCCCTCAGGCCCTGGGGAGAGGTTCAGAGTCGCCTTCCCTGGACCACAGCCCGTGAGCTGGGGCGGGGTCGGAGGGGAGGATATGTCTGGGAAAAGGGTCCTAGGACAGAGGCGCGGGAAGCCTCCAGCAGTCCTGTTAACTGCGGCTCGGCACGCGAGGTCTGCTGTCCCCCGGCGGCTAGGAGGCAGGGGGCCCAGCCCAGGGTCTTTGAGGTCTCAGACTATGCCCAGGGCTCGCCAGTCAGCCTCCCCTGGGTCCGGGACCCTGCCGGCAAGCCGCGGGGTGGTAGAGCAGGGACCGCGGCGTCTGCACCTGCAGACCTGGGCAGTTGCGGCTAACTTGTAGCTCGCGGAACCCCGCGGAGGACGCAAAGAAATTCCACTTGCGAGCTCTGCCCCGCGCCCCTGGCGTGCCCCCCGCGGGATAGGCGGCGGCTGCCCTGGGAGTGCGTTCCAAAGGAGACAATCCTCCCGGGTTATTGACACAGAAGGAGGCACACACTCCGCCTCCGACCCCCCTCCAGCTCTCGCATCCCTGTTCTCCCTGACCATCGCTGACCCCAGGTTGCTGTGAGCTACAAAATCATTCCCAGGGAGGGTCCACCGACCAGCAGGTCCCTGGGCGCGGCGCCAAGGCTCTGGCATGTGTGGAAATATCCACGGGGAGAGTCTCTCGGGACGGGGGGCGCGAACAGAGCGGAGAGCGAACGGAGCTGGCCGCTGACACCTAACCCAGGCAGCCCCTCCGAGTCCCCGGGTCAGTTCACGGCCACAGCCTGTCTGTGTCTTCGGCCCCCAGGGCCCGGCGTCCGCCGGCCAAGGCGCCCGAGTCCCGCAAGAGCGCAGCGCGCGCAGGTCCGCACGCTCTGGAATCCACCCCCGCACCGACTTTCTGTTGCCCCCTCCTCTTTTCTTTCTGTTTTGCTTTTCTTGCTCTTGTTCATAGCGCTGGTGGCAATGGGGACGTGGCGGCGGTGTGGTTTGACCATCCCCTGGTGCACGCAGCCGGCGACACAAACACACGTCCCCACGCCGTGCCGCACACTCGCCAGCGCTCCAGCGCGGTGCCCCGCTGGACAGCCCCCCGCGCCTACGCCCATGGTCACCGCCACCACCACCACCACCATAGATAGCCCTGCCCCTCGCCTCCAGAGAAAAACCCCGGGGCGTCTAGAAAGGCCTGCGAAAATCTGGAATTTGGATGGGGAGCGAGGTGGGAGATACTCTGGGGCAAACGGCCCCCAGCGCACCCGCGGTGTGGAGTATGGAGTGCTCCCGCCCCGCCTGAGCCCACCCTGAGCCGTAATCTGAGAGCCCGGTGCAGGGTGGGTCAGCCCTCCCCTGTCTCTCTGGGCAATCCTGGAGTCTCGGATTGGGAGGGGTCTGCAAGTGAAGCGGCTCCTAAGCCGCAGGGTGGCAAACTCTGGATTGTGTGTCGGCAGTGGATCGATACTTGCGAGTGTAAACCGTCTTGGCAAGCCATAAGGTAGGGATGATGATACACTGGAGTAGAAATCAGAATCAGGTGGGCATGTGCATGTCATCCAGGGGGCCACAACAGCGAATGATGACCACACAGGTAAAACAGGTTGAGTTGACCGGAGATAGGAACTGTATTAGGCTGCAATTCGGAAAGTGGACTTTTGAGGTTCTAGGCAAGTAGGTGGGAGGATTTTGTGCCAATACTGTTTCAGCTTTGCAGGCTTGGCAGGCAGGAATTCAAGAAGGTCAATGCCAGATGGGTTTGTTTGTTGTTTGTTTGTTTTTGGTTACTCCTCTTGTTAATAAGCTTTCCAGTTGTAGCGGTATAGCCCAATATAACCGATAAGCAACTTCTCTTTCCCTGTGTTTGCTCTGCTGGGTTAAATAATAACACGGGTTAAAACAGACGTGGAAACTGACCCTAAAAAGGCACGGCAACTGCAGCCAGTTCACTTCATTGTTTCAAAAGCCCTGTGAATGTGGTGGGGATGGAATGGAAGACACAAAATTGAGTAGGCTGTCTGACAGCTGCTGCTTTTCCCATAAAAGATAAGAGTGTTTGTTTATGTGAGTGTGCCTGAGGGTGCCTGGAGGGGGACTGGAGCCAGACAATAGGTGGATCTGAATATCCCTCTCCAGGTTCAAGTACCAGAGAACCTGCAAACAGGTTGGCAGCTCTCAGCTGACTTCAAAACCAGTTGTGGAAGAGAACAGCACTTCTCAAACAAGTAAAAGTTCCTTTGGAGTGGATCCCCACTGTCTCTCAATTTGGGGGGTGAGGAGGCAGAGACAGCCTTCACATTTAAAAAAAAAAAAAAGTGCCCGAATTGTACTACATCCCCTTCTTTGTCTAAGAAGTTCTCAACTTTAGGCACCGGGATGCATGCTCATCAGGCAATTTTCTAACTCCAGTTTCAGAGCAGCCAGCACCCCAGGGCCAAGGGTGCAAAAACTGTGGTGGATTCCGAGGTTTGATGAAAACAGCAGTCCTCCGTGTGCTGGGCGGTAGGGAAGACACAGAAGACATGCTAGAATGTCATAGTGGTCTTCCATGGAACTTGAGCCAGAGTTACATGGCTCTTTGACCCACAGCAAGGAAGAATGCTGGAGCAAGTGCAAATGAGGAAGAAGAGGGGGAAATTCAGATAGAAGAGAAATGAAAGAATGGAATCAGAATTAAAAAGAGGCCAAGAACCTGTGGGTGTGCCCTTAGCAAGCTGTGTGAACAGCCTCCACCTGTGAGATCAGCGTTTGGGTCACTTGTTCACTTGTGTTCTTTATACATTCCGTATCAGTAGCCATCTCCAGGTAAGCACCCAAAGCCCAGTCTTAATCTTAAAATAAGCTTTCTTCTTTTCCAAAGTAGATAGAGACTGACAGAAACAGTTTGCCAGACAGTTCCTTCAAGGTCTGGCTTTCTTCATTTAAATTTGTATCTGACTGGGTTTGCCTTTTATGATATTGGCTTCCTCTGTCGTTTTCCTAAGTGGACTCCTATGTATCAAACACTGTCAGTCTCCCTTGTGGCTAGCAACTGGCTTTAATTCCCTACCACCTGTCCCCAGTCTGTCTACTTGTGGCTCTTTGAGCAGGTTGGGGCTTACTCATTGCAGAGCCTGCAGCTCTTCTGGGCCACGTGCTACTGGTGGTGTATGAACAAGGGAAGCAGATCACCTTTCTGTGGGCAGTCATTTTCGGAGTGTGTTCTAAGTGTATTTTAACATGTCCTTAGCACATTACATGTTGTATTGCATGTTTTCCAGTGTTTGACCCTCACTGTTTAAAATAGAGCCAGGCACATCCCAGGAATTTATTAAATATTTGTTGAATATGTGCATAGATGAATTGATTTTCTTGTTTTTGTTTGTTTGTTTTTTTTTTCTTTTTCATTGTGACAGTTGTATGAAGAAGACATTATTTGCTTGGTTTTATAGTGGAGGAAATCAGTTTTTAATGAGGTCTGGTCATGGCCAACCTCATTCAGTTAGTAAGTCACAGGCCCTAGGTTAAACAGCGGCCTGTTGGTCTCTAACACTGCGCTGATTGGATCTCTATAAATAGTCTAGCTCTTGCTCTCCCTGTGTTTGGGACAACAAAACTGGTGTTTAGAGTTCAGTGATGTTCTGCCTATCTGTTTAATTCAACTCTGCCTGGTGTTGTTGGATCCCCTAAACCTTAAGCAAAGAAATGTTCGGTGCTAACTAGATTCTTAGTTGGCACACTGTGTTTGCTCTGTGTAGTCAGCGGTTGCCTCTGGCAGAGGAAAACAAGGGCACCCAAATTAGCTGACTTTTGGCAGATGCCATTTCTACCTATCAGCTAGATGGAGGCATTGCTAAAGAGACTTGCTCTCGCTGATGTGGAATGTTGAAAGAGAATCTTGATGTTATCCAGTTTAACTCAGGACAGGTATTGAAGTAAATGAGGGGACTTTTCCCAAGCGACTCCGCTAACCATGGACTGCTCGAGACATACGTATCCCAGCTTCTGATTTATTCCCCTCTTTATTTTACCGTGCTGAATGAGTCCCTCTCTCTTTATTAAAATTGTTGACACTTAAAGTTCTGTGTTTTAATGGATCTGTTTAATTTTAATTAGAATTTATTATCCACTTTTACTTTGAAAGGCATAATGTGACTTTGTGAACTGCTGTTAGCAAAGGATGAGGTAGATTCCAATTGGTTTGCCTCCTTCTACTCTTTATATATTCTTGTCTAACTTTATTCCATTTCCTTTTTTTCTCACATGCTCAAGCTCCTTCTTTTATACTATGACCTAAATATACAATCATCTTAACTGGTGCTGTTACCATGGTAATGTTTCATGGTAGATAAGGATGCACACCAAAAGCTTGATTTCTTTCATTAGTAATAGAATTCCTCTCCCTCCCTTTCTCTCTCCCCCCACCCCCCACGCTCTGAAACGCAGGCTTTCACTAAATGATGCCCTCTGGTGTTCAGTAACAGCAAGCACTCTAGTTTTAGTAGGACAGGGACATCATTTTTAAAGCTCAGAGAGAGTTTCGATTACAATTTGAAATGGACATAAGCAAGAAAGGCTTTTAGTTAACACATTTTTAAACAGAG